ATTTATTCATATGTACAAAATGGTATTAATCATCTAATTAAAAATTCGCCTTTTCTTTTGCCTTTTCATTTCTCGATCAAATACGATTCAAAGATATTTAGGCATAGAGTAGGCATAATTTTTTTTTTTAAATAATGATATTAGTAAAAATGTTTATATTTAGATAATGGTGAAGTTAACATTAAAAGGGGTGGACAACTTAGGGGCATTACATTGTATCAGTTTTCAAACCAAAGTTATTTCACAATCTAGTGCATTGTTTAGATAATAAACAACTACATATATTCGACAACTGCACTTTCTTCATTGTTTAATAAATATAGTGATTAATAAGTATATAAACTGACCCAAAAGAATCTCTTTCTCCGTTGGTGGTGGCAGTTGTTGAACTGTTGGACTCACTACTGCTGGAGCTGCCCGAGTCGCCGGATGTTCTTGACTGCAGACAAATAATAAAACATTGTTATTTGCGATACTAACATATAAAAACTATTCTTTATATTATCTAACTATACTAATATAATAAAGCGCAAAATAACTGTACTTAATTATGTAGGATGTCAGCAATCACAGCATATTTTTGAATAATTCTTACTTTTAAAAAGTCCTACACTTACGACACACTTTAGGATATATATTCGTTGTTATGATATTTTGGCATATGTAATAATTGGTGATGTCCTACCTTGTAGCAGTCGAGGCAGACGACGAAGCCGCACTTGCCGCACGTCCAGTGGAAGTTGAAGAGCGTGGTCTCGCACACGTCGCACATCTCGCGCACGCCCTGCACCACGCGCTTCCACGCTATCGTCTTGTCTGAAACACCGCACATATTACTTACATTTCAGTCAATTACTATAATTATAAAGCCGTTTTTTCTACCTAAAAGAAGGAGGTACTCAATACTTCTGTATGTTTTTTTTTTTAAGTTTGCTCGGCATAACTCCGCCCCAAGTGGACCGATTTTGATAATTCTTTTTTTTTCGAAAGGTAGTGCTTGCAGGTGCAGTCCCATTTTTTACATTTCATAACTGCCTTTTCTTTAACTTATATAACTATAATGTTTAGAGTCAATTCATTGCTATTAATTTATTTAAGGCGTCATTTAAAAAGGTGATTTAGTTTAAACATTGTTGTAAATTAATACCTTCATTAAGATGATGTGACTCTGCTTCCTTTTCCTGCTGCAGCAGCTCACAGAACTGGTCTCCGATCTCCCGCAGCAGGAAGCAGCTCATTTCTATGTCTAGTTCCGCCGCGCCGACGGACGATGATAACCATAGCTTTCTATCCTCCTGCACAACAAAAACAATACTTCTAAACCCTAATATTGGCTTTATTTAAAACTGACTTCTGTGTTCTACTGTGTTAAACTTCAAATAAAACAACAAAAAGTTAAACAAAATATGTACAACCAACATAATTTGACAGAAAAACTATAAATTAAACATTCAATAAATCAATATTTACCTCTTCTGCATCCTTATAGGGGTCGGAGAATCCGGCAATGGCAAGTTGTCTATTCTTGGCGTATTTCAGTCTTCGGAAAGCGTAGAACCGGCAGAATATGTTGGGCATGTCCTTGTCGCGCTGCGCCGGCGACC